CACCTCTGCCTGAGAGCATGCTCTAGGCCCACTGGCAGGAGCTCCCAAAGAACAACATATTCACACAAAAGAATAAATAGTTTTACAAAAACTCACAAAGACAACAGTATGGTGGCTACTAGCAGAAAGGAGGATGGGGGAGTGTAGGTGGTAAATGGAGTCAAATATACGGTGATCGAAAGAGACCAGAATTTTGGTGGTTTGTATACCATTTAATATACAGGTAATGCACCATAGGGTTTCACACTAGAAATACACATAATATTAATAACCAATTTCACCACAAGAAATTTTAATTTTAAAAGTATAAATAGGTTCATCTAAAGAAACAAAGTAGGGCCTCATTCTTTGCAAAGTAAAACAAAAAGAATGTTCATGCATTTAAATATACAGGAGCCACCTTCCTCAGCTGGCAGCACATAATGCTAATGTATCTGACAGTGTGTCACCTTATATTAACATCAGTGACACTGGTTTTGTTCCATGAGCGACAGAGTAGATTGTCATATTAGCATATCAGCACTAGTGTTTGCCATTAACACGTGAAATGCAGTCAAGAAAGCTATGTTGGTCTGGTTTTGGAAAAATAATAACCCCTCTGAGGCCTGGAATCTCTACAGATAAGAAGATAGATTAGTATCAGATCATCTCAGTCTGATGCCTTCCACGGAATTACACCATACACCAATATGTGGGCCCTGCCCATGAGAACAAGTCCTCAACTCTCTCAGTGGTTTGAATGCTGAACTGTGGCTGTTTACCGACACTGTCTCTCAGATGTTCATTGATTACAGTGATAAACCTGTGACAGGGAACAGATTTCCTCAAGGAAGTCCACTTGGAGGGCCCATTCCTGGGACTCTTGGCTTGAGGGGTCTGTGTGAAGGAGCAATATCACTGCGGGCCTGTGCTCCCATGCTTTGAGTGCCTGGGGTCGTCAGAGTCATGTATAGCTATAGACAGCGACAGATCCCAGGCCCATCATTATGTGGCACCAACAGCCAGGAAGGCAGGAAGCAGGGAAGCAAGT